AAAATCATCATTACATACATATTTTAGAAGCTCTGGTTTCAAAAAGTGTTTACAAACTGTTATTAAAAGCTCTACTGATTGTGGCTGCAATAAATGAATTCTTGTTTCCAGAGCTTGGAAAAATGCGTTGAAAGAATTAAAAAAATTCAAAATATGTTTTAAAAATAGCAAATATGCTTTTACATCAGGATTTTGCATTATAGATAATAAATTTTCTCCTGACTTTGATTTTTCACTTACGACCATTTCGGTCAAAAAAAGCTTGGTAGTATCCCACAACTCAAGATGTCTTTCAACACATGAATGGCGAGAGAGCCACCGTGTATCAGGCAACTTTAAAATTTTACGATTTGTTTCCTGAAAACATTCGCTAAATTCTTGATAAATAGCAGCACGCTTGGGACTACTGTTAATATAATTCGCCATCTTTTTTAAAAATTCTTCACAATATTCCGGTATTTTTGCACATGCAGCATGTACAGCCAATGCAGCGGAATGGCATGGACATAAAAATGTTAATAAATTTTTACAAACTTCTTCTAACTTTTTTTTGAACGATAGATGTTTTCCTACCATGACAGACGCATTGTCGCATGATAGGGCAACGATATTTAAAAATGGAATGTTTAATTTCCACATTTCACATTTGAATGCATTAAATAATTTTTCCGCGCTGCTATTTCTCGCATCAATATTAATTAATTTAACTAATTGCGTGCAAATATCTAATGTTTCAATATCAACATATCGAACAAGATACGTCATCCATTTTTCATTATTAATATCAGACGTTTCGTCAATAAAAATTGTAAATTTCGTATTTTGAATGCTGTTAACCACACGGGCCGTCTCAACCGGACGCAATACATTTGAAATTATACTTTTACATTTTGTTCGATCAATGCTCATACTTTTCAATACGTTAGTATCTTTTCCTACTTCTTGGAAAAAACTAAGAATTTCTTTTGCCGTTTGATGCGAAATATTCTTATCAGCAATTAACGCGGCATATCGAATTTCAGCTGATTTCTTTCGCTCTTCAAATGACAAAAGTGATTTGTCCGTCATGTTGATACTTTCGTCCGTATTCTTTGTTTCTGTTTTATTTTTACATATTTCTATGTGTGCTATTGATTCTGCGCAATCATAGATTTATCACAAAGTGAGCAAGAAAACGAATTTTTGTCATGTGACACTTCGAATAGCCATGGCTTAAATAATTCAATCTCTAGCCATTGTTGTTTAAATTTCTGTTTTTCTGTTAATTTTTTATTTAAACTCTTATTGTCAGCATTTAATAATAATGATGTACTTTCTTTCATATTATTTTTGTGGCACGCATAATCTATATTATTTTTGTGGCACGCGGAATCCGCATGTCTTAAAACATGTATGTTGCACGAAATATTTTTATTGCACATATGATACAATGATAAAAACTATCATCAGAAGATACTTTACGTATCCAAGATTTAATTTTATCATCACTAAGCCAAGCTTCTGAAAAACTTCGGTTCTAAAAAACTTAGGTTCTTTTTTTAATTCATCACACATTTTTATGTACAACAAAAAATAGAAACAAAGAATTAAGGAAGAATGAGTAAAAAAAGACACAAACTTTTGGGTTGTCTCTGGGCTGCTTTTTCTCGCTGCGCGCTTATACTCATGCGAATTGGTCGATCTTTTTTAATTAATTTCTCAATA